TCTGCCTATTAACATGTTTTGTGTGTGTGTGTGAGAGAGAGAGAGAGAGAGAGAGAGAGAGAACGCAAGGTGTATATTTTTGAGAATTCCTTTATAGACTTGTACTAGTGTTTAATATATTCCCACACTTGCTGAATCCTTTCTTGAATTATTCAGTAGTGTTGAATTACAGGAATGTTGGTTTGTGTAAAAGCAAAGTGATAAAGAGGGAGTGAGATTTAAACCTGAGATTTTAATGCATATTTTGTTGGTTAAACTTTAATAAGTCCAAAAAACTGTTGGTCATGCGAAGATAGGAAATAATAGATATATTATCAGAACATTCGACTAAAGTATTCTATCAAATGCGATGAGTAATTTCATTATAATTAACTTTGATTATTGATGCTAATAAATATTTTTTTGGATTGAAATTAAAGTTTCGTCATTACATTAGGCTTAGAATTATGATCTTTTTGCTCTAATATGAACAATATAAAATTCACACGAGATAATGATAAATAAACGGAGGTTAAGAACAAATTAAAAATCTTGAGACATTTAGAGAATAATGGAAGCTTATGTTTTGTCCTGTGTTGAATAATAGGGAAAAATTAATAATAACCGTGATAAGTGAATATGTATCGAGATTTGGGCTTAATCTGAGAAATCTGTGATTGATTTTCTTCTCTACAATTGTATTTGATTACTACCCTAGATGAATGAATGATGATCCTCATTAAGAGTAGAATGAGAACAAATGAAGATTCAGATTTAGCTGAGCAAGATTAATTGCAACAAAATGAACCTCATCCTTTACAGAATCTCATGGTGCTTTCATTTGGTAAGTATCAGTAGTATTCAGTGTGTTTTCAGCATAAGTAGTGTTGATGAAAATGCTGAAGTGCGTGTCCTGTCTTCGACCCAGTGTCATCCCTGCGTAGATACATCTTGTGAATAAAACTGAATAAAGTTATTTTTTTTTATTAAAACTTCTTGTATAGCTTTGGAAGAAAATCTTGATAAAACGAGGAGCCAGTGCCAGACAAAGCACCGCGATTCTTGCCTACTCCTCATCGCTGCTGTCCGAGACCCTGCGGGCGGGGACCTGTGACAGCAGCCTGGGAGGAGCGCTTGGACGCCATGCGGTGGACGGGGCGTGAGGAGCGGAACACGACTGGGACGTCGTCGTCATCATCATCGTCGTCGTCGTCGTCCAGTTTGACGTAGCGGGCCTGGGAGCCTCTACATGGACGTAGCGGGTGACCTGGGGAGCCTGAGCGACCTCAACTACGCGCGTCACCATCTGAGGCTGCACGATGGGGACGACCTTGCGAGTGGACACGACGGTGCGAGTCTGTACCTTTGTGGCCACAGGAACAAAGCGGACTGGCGCCTGGGGTTGGAGGGCGAAATGAGGGATGGCGTTCACGGGGCAAGACGGATGGAAGGGGCAGGGGCGACCGCGGCTTTCCTAGGCGCCGCGCCGACGAGGCCGAGTCCCAGCCTCTCGGCCTCCACCTCCACCTCGATCTCCTTGCCGTCGTCGTCGTAGTACCTGCGGAACAACGAGGCTTCCATCAGCTCGGAGGAACACAAAGCCAAACACAAACAAGCCTTGAGGTATACAAGTGTGAATGTGCTCAGGAACTGCCAAGGAACGGCAGGAATCCGACTTACTTGTAGCGAAGAGAGACGTCCCTGGCGCGGTCGCCTCCAATCAGGGTTGTGCTGCAGCTCGCCAGCCCCGCCAGCGCCAGCAACATCAACTGCCGAGGAAGACAAGATTTACATAAATATTCAAGAGCCACAGGCCCCTGTATGTATATACAATGCATTTATATATGATATATATTCAGGTCTATATATGAAGTATTCGGGGCGAGTAGAAGTAAAATATGTAACAAATGATGTGAGATACAACCGTAACAATCACTGAAGAAAAAAAAATCAATTAAGTTATGTCACTGATAATTTTTATTGAATGGTAAATATCAGACGCTAAAAAGAATATTCTCTTTACCAGCTTCATGATGAGGTTTCGAGGAAGAGAGAACCGAAGCGAGAGACCTTGCACCGGAGACGATCGGAGATGAATGACTTTAGATGCATCTTCGCGCCCACGTTATATACCCGCCAGAAGGTGCTAGGGTACGACCTTGAGGGGGGATAGGGGCACCGGGGCATCCTTACCCGGTAAGATATTTGCAGTAGCATGACTGTTTCTTGCACCTACAGCCGGGAAACTGAACCTAAAGCCTCTTGCAGTGGAAAATCTCTAACAAACATATTCATGCAGTCATCTTCTACGTTACAAGGGACGTAATTCATCATCTGGACGAAAAATATTTTTTCTTACCATAACGAGTAAGAAACCTCTCATTGTCTCCAAATGTAAATTACAGAAGAGAAAATTGTTGTTTCATTAGTTTCCGTGAAAGTGCATGTTTATCTCTCATTTCTACGAAATATTTGTAATTTATTTGTTTCCGATATGGGTGACTGGTTTTCAGTTAGTTTTTGCAGGGTCGTGAATATCTCTATAATCTGGAATCTCCCTCAAGTGTATATTTGGAAAGATACGAGTTTGGGCAATTTGTAAACTTGTGTTTCCTTACCTGTGTATTTATATCATACACATGGGAAACTTGGTTGAATAGATTTTTCAGTTAATGAAAATATTTATTGAATAAATTATCTAATGCCAAGATTTTATCCCCCATGAAGAGGGGATCAAGATTTTTATCATTAACCAGGAAAGCATCCTGATGGCAGCCCCTGTTTGGAAAGCAATATTGACCCTGAATCAGCCTGTCCACAAGGCACTGCTGTTAGGCCTGAAGTGGAATTAACGATTTCATCTGACATGTTGGGTTTTCAGACTTATTTATGGATGGCAATAGACATGTAATACGAAAGGCTAATGTTCAGCAGAGTACGTTTAGAGCAGAATCCTATTCGTCTGAGGCAGCAGACGCAGTTAACGAGGAAGCTATGATTTCCCAGCAACCAACCATACATATGCGCGATATGGGCTTATCAGCGTCCTGGGCATTACCTATTGAGTTTGAGTTTGAGATGATCGCACTTCGTACCAGACAGGAATAGGAATTCTTGATGTCAAGCCGGCATCTTAAGGGGTAGAAACTGAATATATATATATATTATATATATATATATATATATATATATATATATATATATATATATATATATAATCCTTCTCGTCAGCTTTTACTTAAATCTATCAGAATTATTTCTCTGTCCTGGGCATCACCTTTAGGGTATCAATCCGAATTGGGATTTGAGAAATCAGTGACCTCTATAAATCTGCAATTTCCCCAGTTTTTTAAATATTTGCCCGAACATACTTTATACTTTATGAGCTTTATCTTATACATATTCGCCATATTGTTAAATATAGTATAGTTTTATAATAAAATTCCTTCATAAGGAAAGGAATTTTTGAATTTGTGGATCCTGATTTGTAGTAATAGTAATCAAATATATGTATTAAATGTGCACCGTTTATTTTTTCACGTATGTAATAATTAATGATAATTATGATATCAAAAGGCTTAGAAATTATAAATCATGATAATGAGATGAGATTGTCAGACGTAAATAATGTTGACCCAGCGGACTCGAACTGTGGTGGAGGCGAGACCCAGGTGGTATTTGTTTTTGGATTATGATTTAGCTGTAATTTTGGCGTCATTTAAGTACAAGAGCTCCAATATGATTACTTGATGATCTATACAAAAAATGGTATACATTGATCTGGAACTAATAAATTTGTTATTAGATGTAGTCGTTGTTTTGATGTCCAGATTCTGTCTTGTTTTTTTTTTTTCTTTTTTTTTCTATCAGACAAATTTTTCATTAATGACTTCTGTTTATATATTAAATTAATAAAATGTATATTGAATTAATCTCTGTGTGCCAGTTTGTTGTTGCCTCTCAATGTTGACCATTAGTATGCTTTTATTAGAAAGAATTAATCTTCAGTAATAACCTTTATTTCTTTGGATACTTTTGAGGATCTGCCTATTAACATGTTTTGTGTGTGTGTGTGTGTGTGTGTGTGTGTGAGAGAGAGAGAGAGAGAGAGAGAGAGAGAGAGAGAGAGAGAGAGAGAGTCAGAATGCAAGGTGTATTTTTTTTAGAATTCCTTTATAGACCTACTAGTGTTTAATATATTCCCACACTCTTGCCGAATCCTTTCTTGAATTATTCAGCAGTGCCAAATTACAGGAATGTTGGTTTGTGTAAAAGCAAACTGATAAAGAGAGAGAGAGATTGAAAGCTGAGATTTTTATGCATATTTTGTTGATCAAACTTTAATAAATCTAAAAAAACTGTTGGTCATGTGAAGACAGGAAATAATAGATATATTATCAGAACATTCGACTAAAGTATTCTATCAAATGCGATGAGTAATTTCATTATAATTAGCTTTGATTATTAATTCTTATAAATATTTTTTTGATTGAAAAGTAAAGTTTCGTCGAAATAAGTTAAGCTTAGAATTATGATCTTTTTGCTCTAATATGAACAATATAAAATTCACACGAGATAATGATAAATAAATGGAGGTTAAGAACAAATTAAAAATCTTGAGACATTTAGAGAATAATGTAAGCTTATATTTTATGTCTCGTGTTGAAAATAGGGAAGTATTAATAATAAGTATACTGTATTGAGATTTGGGCTTAATCTGAGAAATCTGTGATTAATTTCCTTCTCTACAATTGTATTTGATTACTACCCTAGATGAATGAATGATGATCCTCATTAAGTAGAATGAGAACAAATGAAGATTCAGATTTAGCTGAGCAAGATTAATTGCAACAAAATGAACCTCATCCTTTACAGAAACTCATGGTGCTTTCAGTTGGTAAGAAACAGTAGTATTCAGTGTTTTCAGCACAAGTAGTGATGATGAAAATGCTGAAGTGCGTGTCCTGTCTTCGACCCAGTGTCATCCCTGCGTAGATACATCTTGTGAATAAAACTGAATAAAGTTATTGTTTTTTTATTAAAACTTCTTGTATAGCTTTGGAAGAAAATCAGGATAAAACGAGGAGCCAGTGCCAGGAAAAGCACCGCGATTCCTGCCTACTCCTCATCGCTGCTGTCCGAGACCCTACGGGCGGGGACCTTGTCGACAGCAGCCATGCGGTGGACGGGGCGTGAGGAGCGGAACACGACTGGGACGTCGTCATCATCATCATCGTCGTCGTCGTCCAGTTTGACGTAGCGGGCCCTGGGAGCCTCTACATGGACGTAGCGGGTGACCTGGGGAGCCGGAGCCACCTCGACCACGCGCGTCACAACCTGAGGCTGCACGAAGGGGACGACCTTGCGAGCGGCCGGAACGGTGCGGGTCTGTACCTTTGTGGCCACAGGAACAAAGCGGACTGGCGCCTGGGGTTGGAGGGCGAAATGAGGGACGGCGGTCACGGGGGCAAGGCGGACGGAAGGGGCAGGGGCGACCGCGGCTTTCCTGGGCGCCGCGCCGACGAGACCGAGTCCCAGCCTCTCGGCCTCCACCTCCACCTCGATCTCCTTGCCGTCGTCGTCGTAGTACCTGCGGAACAACGAGGCTTCCATCAGCTCGGAGGAACACAAAGCCAAACACAAACAAGCCTTGAGGAATACAAGTGTGAATGTGCTCAGGAACTGCCAAGGAACGGCAGGAATCCGACTTACTTGTAGCGAAGAGAGACGTCCCTGGCGCGGTCGCCTCCGATCAGGGTTGTGCTGCAGCTCGCCAGCCCCGCCAGCGCCAGCAACATCAACTGCCGAGGAAAACAAGATTTACATAAATATTCGAGCCACAGGCCCTTGTTTGTATATTTAACATGTATGATACATATTATGAAATATTCGGGTCGAGGAGTAAAAGGATTTGCAACAGTTTCCTGTAAAAAAAAAATTGATAGAAATAAATAAAATGAGTAAGAAATATCATCGATAATCTTTATTGAATGGTAAATAGCAGATGCTAAAAAAATAATTTTGTTACCAGCTTCATGGTGAGGTTTCAGAGAAGAGAAGCCCGAAAGACACTTGCACCGGAGGGGATCGGAGGCGAATGGCAAAGCTGCATCTTCGCGCCCGCCTTATATACCCACCAGAAGGTTCGTGCCCTGGGAGAGGGGATCCTTACCCGGGTCGGGGTAGTGAGTGCTACAGGGTGGGGACGGTTCAAGTAGGGGCGGTATGGGAAGTTACCGAAAACAAGCACAAAACTCGTATGTATATTTTTTGCAGTATGTTTACTCTCACGGCATAAAATGCTCAGAGGATATGAAAAGGATCAGGAGATATATGCAGTAACATCTTCCACAATGTTTCGACAGCCGAGAAACTTCTAAATATTCACATGGACTGATTGTCAAGTGTCATCTGCCTTATATTTACCACTTCGGCTAACGATTAGGAAAATCAAGGGAATCCCTATCTGACTGCCGTGAAGCAAATCCTCTTACAATGGACAATAACTGCAACAAAGACTGTTTATGTGGACAACTACGTTACAAGGGGCGTAGTTCTTTATCGTCTGGACGAAAAATATTTTCTCTTATCACAACCCATAAAAAAACGTTACACAGTCTCCAAAGGTAAATTACTGAAGAGAATTGTTGCAGTTTTCGTGAAAGTGAATGTTTATTTTTATATTATTTTTTATCTATTTATATTTTTCTCACGAAATATTTGCGATTTATTTGTCTCTCTATGTTGAAGACTGGTGTTCAGTTCCTTCTGCAATGTCGTGAATATCTTAAGAGGGTGACAATGTGCAATCTTAAATTGTATCTTTGGGTAAGATGTGTGTCTGAGCGACTTGTGAACTATATACAAATGTATATTTCTCTTTACAGAATTTATAAAATGCTAATCAAAAAATTTATTGAATAGATTATCTCTTATCTAAACTAAATACCATCTCGAGAAGTGAATTAGAATATAAAGCTAAAAAAAAAGCCAAGATTTTATCCCCCATGAAGAGGCAAAATTCAAGATCAAGATTTTTATCATTAGCCAGGAAAGCATCCTGGTGGCAGCTCCTGTTTTGGAAAGCAATATTGACCCTGAATCAGCCTGTCCACAAGGCACTGCTGTTAGGCCTGAAGTGGAATTAACTATTTCATCTGATGTGTTTGGTTTTCAGATTTTCATTTATTTATTTATTTTCTTGTCATTTTTTTATGAACGGCAACATACATGTAATACGAAAGGCTAATGTTCAATAGAGGAAGTTTAGAACAGAATCCTATTAGCCTGAGGCATCAGATACATTTGACAAGGAAGCTAAAGATGACCACAGTTGATGCATAACAGACAGAAATAGATCATGATGTCAATGCGGCATATTAGAGGGTAGATGTGGAAAAAAAAGTATATATATCCTTATCGATACTTTTAGTGTCATCCAAGTACAAAGTTTCCAACATGATTATTTGATGGTTTTTAAAAAATGGTATATATTGATCAGGAACCTCATGGATTTGTCTTAAATGTGGCCGGTGTTTTGTTGATGCACAGACTTTTTGCTTCCTGTTTTTTCCATCATTTTTCCATTAATGATTTCTATCTGCATGTTACATTAATAAATATATAAACTATATATTGAATCAATCGTTGAGATTTTATGTTTGCCAGTTTTGTTGTTGCTTCTCAGTGTTGAACATCAGTGTGCTTTATTAGAAGGAATTAATTTTCAGTAATAATTTTATTTCTTTAGATACATTCTTGGGGGCATCTGCCTAATGACTTTTTTAACCAATAGATAATTTCACCGCTCGGTGTGTTAACATTTCTGCATTAACTGTTGGCCTTTGCCAGAAGGCATGGTGTATATTTTGAGAATTCCTTTATAGACCTGTACTAGTGTTTAATATATTCCCACACTCTTGCTACACCTTTTCTTTAATTATTCAACTGTGATGAATTGCACGAATGTTGGTTTGTGTAAAAGCAAAGTGATAAAGAGAGAGAGAGAGAGAGAGAGAGAGATTTAAAGTTATCAGACCAATTCAATTTGAGATTTTGATGCATATTTTGTTGATTCAACTTTAACAAATCTAAAAAAAAAACTGTTGATTATGTGAAGACTGAAAATGATAAATATATTATCAGAACATTTGACTAAATTATTCTATCAAATTCGATAAGTAATTTTATTACTATTAACTTTGATTATTAGTGCTAATGAATATTTTTTGGATTGAAATTAAAGTTTCGTCGAAACACATGAGGCTTCGAATTATGATCTTTTTGCTCTAATATCAACATTATAAAATTCACACGAGATAATGATAAATAAATGGAGGTTAAGGACAAATTAAAAATCTTGAGACATTTAGAGAATAATGGAAGCTTATATTTTATGTCTTGTGCTGAAAATAGGGAAGTATTAATAATAACCGTATACTGTATCGAGATTTGGGCTTAACCTGAGAAATCTGTGATTGATTTCCTTCTCTACAATTGTATTTGATTACAACCCTAGATGAATGAATGATGATCCTCATTAAGTAGAATGAGAACAAATGAAGATTCAGATTTAGCTGAGCAAGATTGATTGCAACAAAATGAACCTCATCCTTTACAGAAACTCATGGTGCTTTCAGTTGGTAAGTATCAGTAGTATTCAGTGTGTTTTCAGCACAAGTAGTGATGATGAAAATGCTGAACTACGTGTCCTGTCTTCGACCCAGTGTCATCCTTGCGTAGATACATCTTGTGAATAAAACCGAATAAAGTTATTGTTTTTTTTATTAAAACTTCTTGTATAGCTTTGGAAGAAAATCATGATAAAGCGAGGAACCAGTGCCAGGAAAAGCACCGCGATTCCTGCCTACTCCTCATCGCTGCTGTCCGAGACCCTGCGGGCAGGGACCGCGGGGACCTTGACAGCAGCCAGGGAGGAGCGCTTAGGCGCCATGCGGTGGACGGGGCGTGAGGAGCGGAACACGACTGGGACGTCGTCATCATCATCATCGTCGTCGTCGTCGTCCAGTTTGACGTAGCGGGCCCTGGGAGCCTCTACATGGACGTAGCGGGTGACCTGGGGAGCCGGAGCGACCTCAACTACGCGCGTCACCACCTGAGGCTGCACGAAGGGGACGACCTTGCGAGCGGCCGGAACGGTGCGGGTCTGTACCTGCGTGGCCACAGGAACAAAGCGGACTGGCGCCTGGGGTTGGAGGGCGAAATGAGGGACGGCGGTCACGGGGGCAAGGCGGACGGAAGGGGCAGGGGCGACCGCGGCCTTCCTGGGCGCCGCGCCGACAAGGCCAAGTCCCAGCCTCTCGGCCTCCACCTCCACCTCGATCTCCTTGCCGTCATCGTCGTAGTACCTGCGGAACAACGAGGCCTCCATCAGCTCGGAGGAACACAAAGCCAAGCACAAACAAGCCTTGAGGAATACAAGTGTGAATGTGCTCAGGAACTGCCAAGGAACGGCAGGAATCCGACTTACTTATAGCGAAGAGAGACGTCCCTGGCGCGGTCGCCTCCGATCAGGGTTGTGCTGCAGCTCGCCAGCCCCGCCAGCGCCAGCAACATCAACTGCCGAGGAAAACAAGATTTACATAAATATTCGAGCCATAGGCCCTTGTTTGTATATTTAACATGTATGATACATATTATGAAGTATTCGGGTCGAGGAGTAAAAGGATTTGCAACAGTTTCCTGTCAGAAATCTTGATAGAATCGCAACAATCATCGAAGTAGATAAAATGAGTAAGATAAATATCATCGATAATTTTTATTGAATGGTAAATAGCAGACGCTAAAAAGAACAGTTTCGTTACCAGCTTCATGATGAGGTTTCAGAGAAGAGAAGCCCGAAAGACACTTGCACCGGAGGGGATCGGAGGCGAATGGCAAAGCTGCATCTTCGCGCCCGCCTTATGTACCCGCCGAACGGTGCAAGACCTTGAGGGGGTAGGGTTAAGGTAGGGATGGTATGGATAGCAACAGGAAACAAATAAAAACAGTAAGACCCGTAAACAACACTAAAGAAACGCCGTTAATCCATTACATTGTTCTGTATTATTTCGCTTGTACTTCTATGCAATTTCTAAATATGAAATGCTTTGAACAATCAAAAGGATTAGAAGATACTTACAGTGACGTGGCAGTGCCTCAGTTCGCATCTGCATACTGTTGTTCCGGGAACTGAGGCGATTCCCCCAAAAATAGCCATTTGATTATTTCATATTTTTCGTTTGTCACCTGAATAGGCAAAAGTATCAGATATCAAAGAAATCCCTGTGACGGTCGTAGTTCAAGACCTGAAGACCTGTTGCACTAGACGACCATTGCAGCAATCACTATTTCTACTTGCATAAGCTACTATAGCGCCAGGATGAAAACCATTGCTTTTCTTAACGCTGCCCAGTTTACAGCAGCAGAAATAATGATTATAACAACAGTAATACAGATGTGGATGGTCATATAATTATACTAGCGATAATGATAGTAAAAGGAGGTGTTAATGGTAATGGTGGTTATGATGATAGATATAAAGATAATGAAAACTAATTATAAATAAAAGCAATAATGTTAATAACAATGCTGGAATAATGATGTGTGATTATATACATAATAACAATGGTTATAATTACATCATTATGAATTTTCATTATTACAGTTATAACTATTATCATCCTTTATCATCATTGTTTTTATCAGCATTATTGATAATATGAAATATATTATCAGAGATATTGATAATAATAGAAATTAAAATGACACTCCTACTACTAATAATGATAATTATAACAAATGATGAAAATAATGATGGCAATCATAGTTATCATAACAATAATGACGATACTGTTAGTGATAATAGTAATGATATTAACAGTATCAGTAATGATGAAGATGGAAATGAAAATACAAAACAACTACTACTAACGTGTATAATGATAACAGCAATGACTATCATCATCAAAGTCATTATCAGCTGAGAAATTTAAGCTCAGAGCTACGAAGCGACGAAGCGTTCTCGTCGTCGTCGGATTCGTACCGTCTCTGCCTCCCGCTGCCGTGACGTCATCAGCCTCCGACTCTCTACAACGTGGCCCTCCTGCGATAGGACGCGGCCTTGTGGGGGTCTTCTTCTTGTGCCTGCGTTTTTTGTGGTTGTTGTTGTTGTTTTTATGAGGAACTAATGTTTCTTGTATCGGTTGGCTTGTGTGTGCGTTTTTTTTGTTTGTTTGTCGGGTTTTTTTACGACAAGCATTTTTTTTTTTTTTTTTTTTTTTTTTTTTTGTCGGTTGACGTGTGGGTGCGTTTTTGTTTGTTTGTTTTTATGGCGATCTTTTTTTTTCTATCGGTTGACTTGCGCGTCCGTTTGTTGTTTATGTTTTTGTGTTTTTTATATAGATTCTTTTTTTATATATAGATTGACTTCTTGTGCGTTTTTTTTTTTTTTTTTTTTTTTTTTTTTTTTGTTTATGAGAATCAATGTTTCTATATCTGTTTAATTATCTTTCTTATCGTTCCGTGTTCCAGGCTACTTCTACACTCCTACTGCATGGTACAGAACCTCCACGCTATGTACGTGTGTGATGGATTCTGAACAATTTGTGAATGAAACAACGAAGGGATGATGAAGATAAAAGTAATAATAATGATAATTTGAATATTCCGAATGTGTTCTTGGCACGTTGCG